ACTTTTGTTTTACTAGAGAGGATGAAATTTATAACCTTCATATATCAGAATTATTGAAATAGAATTTGTTTAAAATTATCTGAAAAAGATTTGTCTTCATATATGTAACAAAGAAATTTGTTGGAAATATTTACCTATTGAAAGAATATCTTATACTCTGGAATACAGCATAAACCGACCTATAATGAAAACTATTAAATAATAATTTAGTGTACATGGGTGCCAAATTGCTTTCACCTTTGGCACGCCATCCATTCAACCAAAATAGAGTACATGTCTATTTGTATTTGTCCTTAGATTATGGAGCTGACAAAATGCACAAGGTAGAAAAATCAATTTTTCACTATTGTATAAATCACCTTGAGTTATTTTTAAAGATAACACATAAATTCTTAAGTGAATGAAATAATGATGTTTTTGTACAAGTAGTCAAAATACAGTCGATGATATCTTTATTATTAAAAGATAACTATCATGTCTAGCAAATTATAAACTTGGTAATTACTTTCAAAATCTAGAACTAATGGTCCATGCTTATCTCACCTGTGTATATAAACAATAGTCAATACCATAATAAGTAGGAAGATGGAGGTGCTAGAATACTGAGTGAATGCATTTTCTCTCAACAAACCATTGCATCATTACATTGTATTGCAACGCAGAAGAAGCTACATGAAATACATTAAAGCAATCCCATATCATCCATGTCTCTCAACAAATCACATATGTTCAGAAATATTTTGGCATGTCTCAATAACACTCCAGTACTAATGTAATGATATCATAAAGGGAAAAGCAACTAATACTTTCATGCCATGCATACACCCACGCATACATAGTACTGGAAATAGGCAGTATGAGCAGGTGCGGTGGGTAATGCGCACACAGCAGGCTATGCACACAGCAGGCTATGACAGTGTGGGGTGGGGAAATTTGCACACAAGAGCAAACTTTTATTCTTCCACAGTAGACAAAAGGTTCACTTGAAACTCCATAGAGGAACAAGTAAGTTATTAAAGATTATCTGCAATGCCTAAGTCATTTGCCTATGCCAAATTAAAACTTTTCTAGGAATAATATTTACATCAGTATAAGGTCCTCTGCTGTGACAGACTTTTTTTATATAATTAGGCTATTGTATTTTGCCTATTCTGACAAATTAGAGCTAAAGAAAAAAATATCAGGTAAATCAATAGTACTCATGAAAAGAAAGGGCACAGAATTAACTTTTAGACTCATTATGCTGATTTAAATATTTAGATTGATAAGACTGTTTCCAAATAGTTTTTGTTTGTTTGTTTTTAATGAGGAATTTGGTCAACTGAGAGTTATTAGGTTCATAAAATTGTCTTTTAAAAGTTAAAATGATTAATCCAAAATTTTCATGACAATTATTATAAAAATAAATGGAATGCATTTAATTTTCAATAAATTTGCTTGAAAATCATTTTGTTTAAAAAATAATTCAGTATTGACTGTTACTATGATAAACCTGATTTTTCATCAAAGTTCTTTTTTTTGTATTTTTAATAAAGGAGTATTTATCGTTTATACTAAAGCTCCTATAAACATTGACTATTTAGTGACTGGAAATTGAAATATATACCTCTCCCAAAGAAGCTATTATATGTGATTATTTAAATTTAATGCAAATAATAATATTTCAAATTTACAGTTAAAATAATTAAGTAAAGGTAACTGAGTCATGTAAAAAAAGAAGTAGCTAGCTATGTTGAGAACAAATATGCAATTTTAGTAGGAAAGAGAAAGAGTTGAGAGATTATATATTATAATATAAGAAAACTTAACTACTTTAAAATAATATTGGGTCTAGATATCTGCTATAAAATTTAGATTACTTTAATATTCATCTAATATTATGTCTATTGTCCATTCATCTAATATTATGTCTATTCTTAACTAAAGCATGTGGTAGAAACATCTGCAGAGGTTTTTTTAAAAATACTTTTTTTTCTCAGAAATTTTAGTTTAGTGGACTGGACTATTTGTATATGATTTCCTAGACTAAATTCTTGGCTTTGGTAGGTTTAAATTCAATCACTGAATTTATTCCTGTATCCTTGTAATCTCTTATCAAACATGTCAATAGATGCCACTATCAAAACCAAAATTATTCACTTACTATACTATCTTAACATATCTTAACATTCAGAATATGTCCTAAAAGACAAAGCTTTTTATTTTTGCCTGATTTTTAGATTTCTGTTTTCTGGTAAGAGGAGCTGCTTTTCAATTTTTTTTTATATAAATAAATTTTCCATTTATTTGAAACTTATTTTGTCAAAGCATTCTTTTATGGAGACTACAATAAGGTATATGTAATACTTCTGTTTAATATATATTAAAAATTTTTGACTGATCACATAACTTAGTTAAATAAGATGAAGGCGAATACTTACATATCCTCTTACTGAGTGAGGGAAGACAAATAGAATTATTAGAAAAAGATGGTATTCTTAGCTGAAGGGGGATGGTGGTGCTTTTGCTTTAAATACACAAAGGGATGTTTCCCCACCAAACACTGCCTGCGTGCAGAATATGCGCTCTGCTTTTTTACTGATGACCACATTCCTCCACTTAGAGTTAAGAAAGTGCATTTACCGTGTCTGAGAAACGGTAAAACTTCTCCAGTGCATAAGCTTCTGTCTGGGATTGAGAAACCAGAAAATCAAGCATACATGATTATATATAATTTCACAATCGGTTTTAATTACATATACCATTTTAACAATCATGTATCAATTAATAGATTTTTCACATATGCAATGTATCCATTTCCCAAAATATGAAATGAACTAAACAAAACAAAACCCTGGATTTTATTATTTTTTTCCCTGAACCAAATTTTAATTACAATATTTGCACGTGGTGTATTTCAAATAGTGGTTAGAAAATAATAAGATATTATTTTTGCTTTTCTGCATTTTTCTAGAGTGCCAATTATTAGAAAATTAATCTTGCTGTCTTTCTTTGAGCTGAAGAAGGAATGTCAAACATTTGTATCCCAATAGTCTTACAGGTGGTAAAACTGAATAAAGAACTTCTACGGATAATTTTTTAAAAGGAGGAACCAGAATTGAGCAAGTAAACTTGTAGTCTATTATGTTATCCACTGGATATTGTGACTGTTTGACATGAGGTGGGAGTAGAAAATGTCTGAGCTCTTAGCCCCCATGTGGACACCACATGTGTAATACTTCTCATTTCTAGAGTTTGCAGTACAGGGTTAGACATTTTAAATTGTAGAAAGGAAGAGAAAGGTAAGGAAATAGAAAGTAAATGTGGAAAAGCAAACAAAAATGAGAAGGGAAAATAAATCAATATTGCCTTATTTATGATTAATGAGATTAGAAGAAGAAATTGTCTTCAGCAACCATTAAAGGGAAACACAAGAGCTTCAGCCCTGGGATTCAGTATTGTTTTGTCCTGTGACAGTGTTTCAGCCAGTACCAGGTCTCAAGAGAGAGAAAGGGGGCACAAACAGCTAGTAAGGGAGGCAGAATAAGGGGAGGAAAAGAATGAAAAGGAGAGTGAGGACGAACTAGAAAAGTCTAAGAAAACTAGCTGACAGGGGCGAGGTCTGGGTAAGGAGATGAAAAAAATTACTCTCCCATCAAAATATGTTTTCATGTATAAATTATATGCTTTCCTTTTCATAACAATTTCATCAAATGCGAGATCTAGCATTTTTTTTTGTCTAGTGAATTAATTACTCAGTATGTCCCAATGCTGATGTTTCTTCCATGCTGCACTGAATTGGATATTTATTGGAGTAGTGATGATTCTCGGGAGTCAATTAGACAAGCCTGAGTAAGTTATTGCTTTAGAAGATGACTAATACTGAGTAGGCTCAGCACTGACAGATCATGGCTTAGTGCTTTGAAAGGTTTTATGAATCTATAAATCATAGTCAATAATTCAGGAACCAGAAGGAATCCTTTAAAAAATTAAATTCTTAAAAATGTGCACTATAGAACTATGAAATTTTTCTATTGCTTAAGACTCCAATTTCTTTAAAAATATTAGCTGGCACATTTTCATTAAAGAAGTAAATATACTGGCCAATAGAAACTCTTCCACACAGAAGAGGAAAGGGGTTATGGCATTGCAAGTCTTCATACGGAGGAACAACCCCATTCTATACATCCAGATCCAATCAGGAGATCACTTCCACAACTTCCTGTGGTCTCCCAATGATGTTTTAAATAACATTTCTTCTAGGTTTAAATTATTAGGTTGATGGACAAAAATAACACTACATTGTGTTTCCCATGGGAATTCAGAAGAAATGTCTTTAAAACATGAAAGTATGCATCAAAAAAGACCTCTTAGTTCTACATGAACATTGAAGTGTTAATAAACAGGTAATATTTGATGGAAACAAAATAATTCATTTAAAAAATAAACAATTTTAATTGCTATATTTGATGACTTGTGTGAAGTAAAACCACCAAAAACCCTCTAACATTGCAAATAAGAAATGATACATTTTTGTTAATGAAAGCAAAAGCTGGTGTCTTTTCAGGAAATACACTAGAAAGAAGTTGAGAAAGCTCTCTTGTCAACAGTATAGCTAGATGTCGCCATTTTCTTCCTGAAGCTATTTTTGACAACTTAAATTTCAGTTGGACAAAACCAAAGGAAAATCATATTACTTAGTCCCCAGTATCCACTTCCTCTCTTCACTTCCTATTAAATATAACAGCCCTTGCTGGTTTGGCTCAGTGGATAGAGCATCAGCTCGTTGACCGAAGGGTCCAGAGTTTGATTCCAATCAAAGGCACATACCTGAGTTTCAGGCTTATCCCCAATAGGGGTTGTGCAGGAGGCAGCCTAACAATGACTTTCTCTCATCATTGATGTTTCTATCTCTCTCTCCCTATCCCTTCCTCTCTGAAATAAATAAAAATATAATATAACAAATTCACTTTTTAGTGAAAGTTGATATCCCAGTGAACCCAATGCATTTAATTGCTTACCTTATTCTTTCTCTTTCGTCGAAATCTCAGAAGTTCTTTGTGCTGTCTTGATACAAAATTTACAGCTGCATATTCCAGAAGTGCTGAAAACACAAAAAGGAGGCATACTGCCATCCAAATGTCAATAGCTTTGACGTATGATACCTAGCCAAGGAAGAGAGAGAGAGAGAGAGAGAGAGAGAGAGAGAGAGAGAGAGAGAGAGAGAGGGAGAGGACAAATTGATTTGTATTATTACTTCCATTGAGAATAAAGCCGAATATCTTATTCTAAAGTATAGCATGTATATACCAGCTTGAGGGGAAAGGGGAAATGGCACCAACACGGTTTTTTCCCTTAAGAATTTTTTCAGACTTTGCAAGTTTTATATATTAGTCATACATCAAAACACATATTTTTGTTAATTTTTTTTTTCAAATGAGTTATTAGATAGTACATATGATGGGAAAAAATAAGATGAAATGTAATTTTACTTTCAGATTAGTATAGTGTAACTAGAAGCCCAGTGCATGAAATTCGTGAACTTGGGGGGAATGGGGTCCCTCAGCCAGGCCTGCGCCCTCTCGCAGTCCAGAAGCCCTCAGGGCATGTCCAGACCATCAGTGGGACATGGACATCCTTAGTGCTGCTGCGGAGATGAGAGAGGCTCCTGCCATCCAGATGTGCTCACCAGCCATGAGCCTGGCTTCTGGCTGAGCAGCACTTCCCCTGTGGAAGCACAATGACCACCAGGGGGCAGCTCCTGCATGGAGTGTCTGCCCCCTGGTGTCAGTGTTTGTCACAGCCATCAGTTATTCCGCCATTTGGTCGATTTGCACATTAGCCTTTTGTTATGTAGGATACTTGAAAAGTATGAAGTCACATTGACATATACCATCATGGTAGTATAATGCTGTTTTCCTTTTTAGCTCCATATTTTCTTCATGAAAAAGTGTTCTATTTTGAAATTATTTTAACCTTACAAATGTTGCAAGAACAGTAAAAAAGAACTCCCACTTCTGTAGTAAACATTTGGTTACATTTGTCTATATATCTCTATCTCTGTTATAATATCTATGTCTATTTCTATATCTGTTCCTTTCTCTCTAAATTATTTGAGTCTAATATTCAGTCATGATGCTCCATTACCCTCAAATACTTACATATATTTTCTAAAGAAAAAAGAACACTCTCATACATGACTCCAATACATCCTACAAAATTAAGAAATTAATATTGATAAAACACCACCACCTAATTTTAAAGCCCACTCCCATTTCACCAGTTGTTTCAATAATGCCCCTTTTAGCAGAAAAACATTTTTCTTTTAGTTCAGGATTTTTGAAAATATATATTTTAAGTGATTTCAGAGAGGAAGGGAGGGAAGAGAAATAGAAACCTCAATGATGAGAATTATTGAGCGTGAAACTCAGGCATGTGCCATGACCAGGAATCAAACCATGACCTCCTTGTTCATAGTTCGATGCTCAACTACTGCACTATTTCTGCAGGGTAGAAATTGCTTTAATCTTGCTCTCAGATTAACTGGACAGTGATTTACTATATATGGCAACTGCTCAAGAATGAAAATTTCCTTTGAGTTTTAGTATAATTTCTTGTAGTATATGTGTATGATACAGCTAAAATGTTATATGTAAGCAGTTTCAGTAAAACCATTACTTTTTGTGGAGTAAGCATGAGATCATTCTTTTTATTGCATACTTTAGGCATGCCAATTAGATGTAGGAGAAAGAATCTCATGTGCCAAGAATTAGGAATAATAATGAAAGATATTTATGATAACTATTTTTTAGGTTTTTCTAGGATGGACAGTTACCTAGAAGTTTGTTTTTCCACTAGTAGAAATAAATGTCCCTTCTCCAAGGAGATATAGTCACAGGAAAGCAGAAAGTGAGGCTAGATGTAGGCAAAAATGCACTAGTTACTTCTTTGGACCAGTGTGTAGCTACCATAGGGAACAAAACGTGACACTTTGGACATCTGACTATTTCAATGTTGCTTATATCTTCTGTATTTTTTCCTTTCTCCTCATCTTTAATATTTGGTCAAGTTATTTTTATCCAATATCAGTCAGTGGAAATCTTGATTAAATACAGGTTGTGGTTTAAAAGAGGAAGTGGCTCAATATTTGGGGAAAACTTATGGTGGAGGGAGAAGCAAAACCAGGGAGAAAACACGTTTCTGCTACCTCTCTCAGATGGCTTTTCTGGCCCTAGGCTAGCCTTTGCCCAAATCTGTTCAAAAATCCCCTGGCACTTGTGCTTACCTGAATATGTTGCATTGTAATTGCTTCTTTCTCTTCCTTTCTTTCCTTCTTTCTTTCTTTCTTTCTTTCTTTCTTTCTTTCTTTCTTTCTTTCTTTCTTTCTTTCTTTCTTTCTTTCTTTTTTCCTTCCTTCCTTCCTTCCTTCCTTCCTTCCTTCCTTCCTTCCTTCCTTCCTTCCTTCCTTCCTTCCTTCCTTTCTTTCTTTCTTTCTTTTTTTTCTGCTTAAACTGTGAATTCTTTAAGGGCAGATGGATCTCTATTTTGTTCACTATGACGAGAGTGTTTGGCATGTGTATACATATTTGTTGAGTGAATAGACAGGTAAATAAAGGTGTAAAATATTAAAATGCAAGGGAGGAATGAATCATAGATGATGATTCATATAATGTTTCACTTTCTGGAGAAATATCTTAGATTTTCATAATTTTCTCTCAAAATCAGGTCATTTCTTCACATCTCTAATGGTGTCAACTTACATATGAAATATGCCAACAAAGGAGCTCTCTGCATTGCCTCCTGTATCTTACCATAAGTGTGACTTCTGCTGGTCAGAATGACCTCTATCAAGCAAAGGGAAGTATGCCCTCATTTTATTCCAGTGCTATGCTAAGTGGCCATCTGTTTGTAAAGCATACATTTAAATCTCATAAATTGTGCAGTAATGCCAGAAATGTCTGTTTGCCTTCAAATGCATGCTTTCCCTGAAAGATGTAATTCTGCTTCCAAAGGTCCTGCCTCAAGCTACACCATTCCTAGAAGAGAATGAGTCATAAAGCACGTGTGTGTTCCTTACCAACCGGAATGTATAGTGACATGACACAGAGAGATTAAATCAGAAGTTTACTTTCCAGATGAATCCAATCAATGTTTTCCATGACAGCAGACATATGCAAACATCCTTCGTGTCTGCCAGGGTTCTGCTGGTTGTGAACAGCTCCCAATTATTGAAGCTTCAAAGCCTACTTTCCTCATTCTCTCCTCTTACCTCATTCATTTATTTCACCTCTTTTTTATTCTCCTTTGCCCTCCCTGCTCCTCCGAGTACAGCAAACTCTGGATCTGGGTAGTTTGGAACTCTAAGCTCAGTAACTTTATACTATAGAGATAGCATTTCTTACTCCAACAATCTGTAATATACTCATAACCTAAAACACACTCCCCATGGGATTCAGAATTATCACCTTTCCATCCCCTAATGCCTCTGGGCATTTTCATTCCAATTCGCTTCATCCTTCTGGAGCACCTAGCCAACAATCCTATCATCCACTGTGCTGTTGGAACCCTAATTCTATGTTAAGCAACCATCTCTCCTCAGTGTTACCCATTAAATACACGTCCAAAATCTGTTTCATGGTGTATAAATTCCTTCATGATTGGCTCCCAAGTTACCTTTCTTACTACATGCATTCCATTCACTTTTTTTTCCATTCAACATTTACTGAACATCATTGATGTATCCAAATTCTGTTCTTAGTGTTGTAGTTAAAGAGATGATCAAGACAGATAAGATCCATTTTAAATTTCTCACTTTAACCCAATGTGCTGCTACTATTCATTTACATATCTTTCTCCTTTCTCCTTTTAGGCTACTATATCCCATGAGCTAAAAACAAGGGTCAGGTCTTATTCATCCTTGTATTTATAGGACCTACCATGGTGCTCATTATACTACAGGCTCTCAAATAATGTTGATTTGATTGAACAATGTGGAGTGATTTATAATCATTGGCCATTTATGATTAGAGAATTAGTTTTAATAGCTAAGATGCCAGGGAATGTTTTTAGTAATGTCCATAGAACTACTTAAGTGTTTTTAGTAGTTGTCCAAAACTAAGAATTTTAATCCTCATAACCACTGAGAAAACTATTCCCATTTTAGAGATGTGGAGACTTAGGCACAGTAAAATAACTTGTCACGTAGCTACCATTAGAGACTAAATCTGAATAATGAAAGGACAGATTAGTGCTCTATAAAAAGGACCCCAGAGAGCTCCCACATCCATCCCACCATCAAAGAACACAACTAGAAGATCCCACATCTATTAACCAGGAAGGGGCCCTCACCAGATACCAAATCTGCCAGTACCTTGATCTTGGACTTCTCAAATTCCAGAACTGTGAGAAATAAATTTCTGTTGCCTCTAAGCCACTCAGTCTGTGCTATTCTGTTATAGCAGCCTGGACTAAGACAGCTACCAAATTGCACAGTTAGGACTTAAATACAACTAACCTAGCTCCAGAGCCTATGAATTTAACTACTATTCTATGTCTAGTTATTAGGCTGCTTCTACTAAAGCACCATTATAAATTTATAACTATGAACACACTATGGGAGAACACACTATATATCAACTTTCCAGCCTCTTTAACTTTTATCTGACAGGTAAAAGTCAAGTCAGTACACAAAATACATATTGTAAAGTCCTCTATACTTTTTGGGTTTGATCCTAAAATTGATAATCAACTTCCTAGCATTGTATTTATCACATAAAAACAATCTAGTTGCTCTAGGGGAGCAACATTAGATCAGGGAAACATTTTTATCCTTTGAAGTACAATGCAAGTCTTTTCAACACCATTCTTACATTAATTACAATGAAGTGTTTTTGTGAGCTAGATCATTGCCTGCTTGTCATATGATAATTCAAGAGGAGATCAGCTTGATAAATTATTTGAGTGTGCAGATTACTGCAAGGCCTTGTCTTTTTTATTCTAAAAACATATTTTATAATGCATGCAAAGGAATATAAGTATTATATATTATGTAGAATTCTTATATCATACTATTTCTCCCCCCCCCCCCAAAAAAATGCATTCATTCTACTTTGCAAAGTTACATGCTTCTTATTATATATATACATATCATCATTATCAATCATCC